TCCCCGCCCGCATCGTTTTTTTCGCCCGCCTTGATTTTTTTTTTATTTTTTATTTTTGGAAAATTCATGAAAATAAAGAAAAAATATATCGAAAATTAGAATTAAATGTTGGAAAATAAATACCCTAGCCTAAAATAGTGCAATATCTTCGTCTAACCTTTCGTATAGTAAAGCTATGCTTAGGCTAGCCCAATATCTCTACCTAGGCTAGCCCGATATCTCTAGGTTGCTCTAGGCTAGGCCTAGGCCGTCGCCTACTCTGGGCGTCAGGCGGAAAACCTCGAGTTCACTTCGATTATTTTTTATTTTTTTTATTATTTATTTATTTTTTTTTTTTACCTCTTCTCAATATTTCTCTTTTTGGATTGGGTTTTCCCAGATGTGCCATAGTACTGTACAGGAAAATAAGTCTGTATTTGTATTTATTTACTTTAAGTAGTTTAATCTAAGTTTCATTGTTATGATAAGAAGGGGCTTTCAAATTTTGTGCTTGTGCTTTTATATTTTTTTTTAATGTAACTTCTTTTGTAAATTTGTTGGTCTTGAACGCACCGTCAATTGACGAGTGCCACTGTAACAAAAGTGTAAGTTCAATAAATTATTATTATTATATAGAGCGCGTTTGTCATGCATACAATTGCCGTATTCGATTGGGACTATACGTTGAGTATGTTATCCCGTTGAGTACAAAACTCAACGATAAATTCCGAGCGTTAACTTCGTTAACAGTTTCCGTTGAGCAGAGCACGAAAGTCCCAATCGAATACGGCCGATGATTTCCGATGAATTCTGGAATTTCCCGTTATACTGGCCCTCTATGTCAGACTGTATGGAATAGTTTCATGTGAAGACGTCTGAGACGTAACATCGGAACATTCCGATTGTATACAGTAACAATGATTCCTAAATTTTATATGTTGAACAAAACTAGACGGGAAATGTCAACAAGTCTGTAGAATGGCGGCCATTTTGAAAAATAAAAAATAAAAAATAAAAAAGGAAGCTTCCTCAATTAAAAAAAAAAGCCGGACGTGAAACATGTTTTTTTTTTTACTTGGCCTAAATCATTAACAAAATAATGAATACAATAATAAATTAATAATATACAAACATTCTAATGTATAAACCATGATTAAACACATATTAAAAGTATTAATATGATGAGCATGGTGGGAGTGGAAGTTCAATTAACATTTACTCCAAGGAGTACATGTCACTGATTTTTAAAATCATGTAATTTTTAGTTTTATAGTGTATTTCAATTTTGAATTCAATATCCTTTTTGCTTTGTTCCCTTTGTATTCTTCTAAATTTTTAAGGCCTTCAAGTCCCAATTTAAATGATGAATTTTAATAATTATAATAATAATAATATTAATAATAATAATAATAATATATAAATATCAAGTAAAATGAGAATCCTAACTATATATTTAATTGAATCCAATATGTAATGTATTGAATGTTGTTTTAATTTGTTTGATGATCCAGAAATTATGACTTGCATCCTGCAATTCCTTATTTTATATATTTTTTTTTAGTTGAAGAACAAAATGAGGAGTAGTATGGTGTAAATTATAAAGAGTAATAACACTACTGAGTTACGGTATATGCATTTGTATCGGTTTGTCTACCGCGCAGTCTGCCGCCTCCATCGTTGTTGCATTATTATTTTAGCATGATTCTTATTGCTCATCACTTAGAGATGATGTTAAAATTAAGAAGGCACATGGGCTGGAATACACCTCCTAAATAATGTATATTTCAGTGTTAATTTTGAAAGTGAAGACTCGACTTAACACGCTCCAACTTGAAATCACATTTGGAAGATGGGATAACAAAAATTTCTAATGATTGAATTGAACATGATAAGCACCTTATTTGGGAGTCGTTAACAATTATCAAGTGTACAGTACGCTAGGGGAAGTGGGTCCGCTAGGGGAAGGGGATAGACACATACACTTTTACATATGCATACAAAAGTTATAATTATGAAGATTCATAAGTAGTGGTTTCTGAATTAAACAGACTGAGTATAAAAAAAACTTCAACACTACAAAATTGCATTGAGAAGACGTCCAACAAAATAGGCCTACGTGTCGAAGCTGGAATGCAGACAACTGGAGAAGCTTACGAAAATAGAAATTTGCATAGCAGTTGATCAACACTATTTAAGCTAGGTTTCACCGAACACCCTTATTAATCCTTATCAAGTGAAAGTTTATTTTACTCCTTCTTTCTGTTGGTAAGTTTCTCAACATTATAGAGGACTTCCAACAAAATACTGTGTCGAAGCTGGAATGCAGACAACTGGAGAGGCTTACGTAAAAAAGCAATTAAAGCAGAAGCCGATGTCAATTTTTGGAAAAAATATTATTATTATTATTATTATTATTATTATTATTATTATTATTATTATTATATTATTATTATTATTATTATTATTATTATTATTATTATTAGGCCTATTATTATGCCTATTATTATTATTATTATTATTATTATTAGTAGTAGTAGTAGTAGTAGTAGTAGTAGTAGTAGTAGTAGTATTATGTATTAGGCCTATTATTATTATTATGATCATCGTATTATGAAGTGCGCGATGTTAATGATGGTGACGACGATGGTATGATAACTACGCCTTATATATATATATATATATATATATATATATATACCATCATCATCATCATCATCATTGTCATTACAATCCGTGTTGTTTTTGTTTTTATAGTCTATAGGCTCTTAGTATCTAGTGAAAACGTTTAAATATTGCCGCAGGTTATACAGTACTTAATAAACAAATAAATACAAATTTGTTATTTGTTGGGCTTACCATCATGCCAGCACAAAATCCACATCTTACTATAAAAAAAAATAAATGAATAAAAAACACTATATAAAAAATGTTGTGACGATTAAAAATCCAGGTCATAATTTATGTTTTAAACGTTGTGTATGATTAGTCAATAAATAAATGCATGTCCACTAATACTTGATAATTCTTAAACCGTCTCTTTGTAATTATAAGCTAATTAATGAAATTTCTGACGTCGAGGTGATAAAATGTAGTGTATATACCATATCCGTGTACGTGCTGAATATTGTTTAATAATGTAAATTGATTTGATGACGTATCGGTATCGTAATGTCAAAATTGCTCATTGACGTCATGATGCAACAGGCACTTTTTATAGTAAAGAAATGCCGTTAACATTATGCATCTCGGTTGTAATGATAAATAATATAATAGCAATAGTCATATTAATATTAATAATAATAATAATAATAATAAAATAATCATAATAATTATATAATATAGGCCTATATACAGTATAATAAAACACGTGGTGGTAATAGATTTGCAGCAACGCTGATTTTCCTGTTTTACTATATACATAGGGTTTATATATATATATATATATATAT